GTTCCGCCGGAGGAAGGGGTGAGGGCGAGGGACTGAGAGGACAGCCTCGCATAAATATTTGTTTCCAACATTTTGCTTTCATTTTTCAGTAGGCATTTGAAGAAATATTGTTGTCGAATTAATTACGCTATTGCTTAGTTACTGTACAATATTTGAAAGGTATTCAATCAATTTTTAAACATTGTCTAATAAGGAGGAAACATGATGGAAACGTTAGAGTTGAGGATTATCATGTACTACAAGACCGGTACACTAAAGTACCGCCGCATAGTGTGCAGTGGCGGGCGGCCGGCGGACAGCTCATGGGCTCCTGGCTCGCTGCTGATCCTCTTAGCTAATAGCCAGGTAGCGCTGTGAGGCGCAGCGGAGTTGTTAATCTCTTATATTTTTATATTCCACAAAAGGATGAATGTAAGTAAGTAATAAGCGGCTTGTATTGTTCGTTAATTGGCTGCTTGTGTGCGGTTCCCAGTATCAGCGATGGAAAATAATAAAATCTAAATAAACTCGAAGCTCAGCTCATTCCACGGGGATATATTCGCTGGAAAAACATCATCCAAATCCGTTGTTATATTTTTATTGAAAAAGTAAGAAAATGGATTTTCCTCTAAAATCCCTTTAAATAAAATGTTCCATCTTTTTGCGGAATATTTATATAAGTTGCTTTGGTTTGTTTTGTTTCGCTATTTTCTTTTGTAGTTCGACTTAGTATGGATATTTACACAAATGTCGTCTGGTGAAAATTTTACAATAAAGTACTTGCTACGTATAATTGTGTCGCTAAAGCTGTCAGTCTGTCTGTCCTCGAGTAAGTGTCGGTGGAATATTTATTCATTACAAAAATGTGAGTATCCCGTGGGAGCCGCTCTTAACTCAGATTATGGCGTCTTCAATACCGTTTCGTTTGTTTTCTTTAAAACACAAATAGACTTGATGCTGCTGTCGGGAATTAAGCAAAGCCTGCCTACTTATGAAAATGTATTACACAGAACTGACAAGAATAAAATAAGAAAATCTATACATAAATAAGTACCTACTTCAAATTATATTGTAATGTTGAGGCAAACGTCCAACCACTCAATTAGGTAAACATGCCCCCGACATAGCTCTAGGAACTAATGTGACTACATTGGTGAACCTTAAATAATATTATAAAAATTTGAAAGACACAAGTTGAGCAATCAATGTAACGTGGAGCTGTGCAGAAGCTGTAGTAGTGGAGTGAACATGTAGGTAGGCAGCAAGTGGACGTTATAGTCGGGAGTTACGTCCGACGCCGACTTATTCCGGGAAACTTCGCGACTAATGCGGGCTTCGCACCTCGCACCCGTGTGCACCGAGCCAACGACTTAGCCGGTAATTGCGAAAGTTATCGATATGCAGTCTATTAATACTGCACAGACCTACTTATTCAAGTTATTTCCTATTATCCATATTTTAGTAGTTTAGGAAATTGTAATTGAGGTCCTAGTAGTTATTGTTCTTTGGAATGTTTCATTAGTACAGCTTGGTTAGAAGTGACGATTACTAATGTAGTTGCCCCACACAAGAATTTTCTCCTGTATCGCGGGTGTTTACAAGTTCACATACACACTAAGAGTTGCTCCGTGCGGGAATCGAACCTGCGACACGTTGCAAGGCAGCCGGTTGCCCAGCCACCACACTAACCGTGATATAAATTTAATTGGATAGGTAATAATTATCTTAACTAGCAGGACGTGGAACTACTCTTGCGGAAAGAACATAATAAATATGGCCAGTGCTAGTTATTGCTGCAAGCTTCTGTATGCTTCACAAACCCATACACATAACGTCCCACTGCATGAAGAGCAAAGTCCTTTGAAAAAAGATCAATTAGTATGTAAGAAGTAATGAGCGCCTCGAGGACACTCCCACTGCTCCCACAGTAAATGCAGATAAAACATGAAGTCAGTTTAAACTACTTCTAATGTATTTCTTTATAAGGTCGTAGGAGGAGAATTTTGTCTTATGATATTGCCCGAGGAAGGAAGTGTGTGCGCCATTTTATATAATAGATTTAATTACTCAACTGTTGAATGTAAAGAATCTTAGATACAGCAGTGAATTAATTAATTGGATCCAATTCAAAACGTTGATCATTTGTTTATTAGAAATTGAACTTGATTCTGTATATTTGAATTGACCGGGAGCTGCACGTAGCGCGCCTTTGATCTGAACAATTGTTTGTCGTTATCAGCCGCCAACAGTCAACAAACCGGGCAGATCCCAGCGTCGGACACTTTAACATAATATTCTAGACTGTGTGATCCTCGTACGTGTTGTATTAAAGTTAATTACTAATGAAACCACACGGGCCAGTGGAGATTGCTCTGATCTCATGTTATGGGTAAAATGAACGGTAACATAAAAGTTTTAGATAACTGATAAATAGAGGAGCACGCGAATGGCTTAAAATCTGAAGTTTGTTTGGTGGGATGTAGGCATTAGCACGCGACGCGACACGGAGCGGGAGCGTGCCGTGACGCGTGACGCGACGACACCGCGGGGCGACGTGTGCTCGGCTCGGATCTACTTCATTGAATTGGTTCCCTTTCAAACATGTTTGTTCGTGTCCCAGCTCCTGATGATACGTCAGTACTCACTCATTCACTCGTTCAGTTCACTCGGGGATTGATATAAAGCCTTAATGGCTCATTTGCTACATTCATACCGTTACGTTTTATTGAATTTACGGACTCATCTTTCGAATTGTACTTAGGGGATTTGTAAATTATATTTGTATTGGACGATATTTTATTTGGTTAGGGAGACGATGAGTCGTACCACCGTTTGCGTATTGGCGAATTTATATTTTTAATTTCATTTAATTTAAAGAGCAGTTATACCAAGTGTTCGATAGTTAAGAAGTATCAGTAAATCTTATTACAATGTAACAATATAGAATTCAAATCGAAGAGAAGAATTCACACAAACCCGCGAGGCATGCATAACGAGAGCGACAAATGATAATCTGATTTGACTAAAAAAGCTTTCCGGATTTCTTTCTCTCCGGGAGAGTGGTGGAAATTGGTAGAATATCAGTACACGTCCTTTTGTCAGGCTAAGTGAGCGACCGAATCGAATCAGCTGCTACATCGTAGGTGAGAACACACTTTAGTACAATTTGTGCATAGCTGTGTCTCGCTGTACTCTGTGCACACTGTGCCACCCTGTGCTGCAACACTGCGCAGTATTCAATCACATGGTTAAGTTTAAAAAACGATATTTTATTGTTTGAGCTTCAGCGGCGCTTGGTACCGCTCCAGGAAACGGCTGAGATTTCCGTTGGATTTAATGAGAAATCTATTTTAGACTTGATATCAGTAATAATGTTCTAGGTTCTATTATTCTTGCTACTATGTTCATAAAGAAAGGAAGTCACTTTCTTGTGTAATTCATAGCCAAAGTTAATTTATTTCAGTCACGGCATTCAGTCAGTCAATCAATCTTATTTCGGGCCGAAGTTGAGAATCCTATGGAGTAAATACTGGTCATTTGCGAACGACATCATGTGTACTGCCTTGTACTTGAACTTTGTGCCTACTATGTACACATCGTATACACACTGGACAAAGTACAGGCACGCACACCATATTTACGAAGATTAAATGAAAACTGTCCGCTTGTTATCATGTAGTCACGGCGCCAAGTGAATCTCTTGCACATCACGAAATATGTAGTTTATGGATAAGTGCAATTAATATGGCTGTGTTGTAGCAATGTTAATTATAAGTTTTTACATATTAAGTGGCAACATTATCGCATTGGGTGTAACCTGTTAGGATGTGTGAAAATTACTGTCGAGACTTATAATATTTTTACTTACTGTAACAAATAATGAAACATAATATAATGTATGTATTATGTAAGACTATTACGCAATCAATAAACTGTATATTAGGTATCTTAAGTGAGGGAGCTCCTTCACCTCGGCCGCCCCTCAATACGTATGGATTCACAGCTCACCAATCAGACTGACCTTAAAGTACGCGATATTCAGTGAAATAAACAATACCGGTCCAAGTAAATGCCATACATAGGCCAGGTATATAAATACCTCTAGAATTACAATACCAACACTCGGTCTAGTATGAGAGTGCGCCTCCTCTGCCCACCCTCCGTAATTCCGTGATTTGATTGAGTTTTGTTTGAATATTTCGGTTGTTTAACTTTGCAAAACATAATCATATTATTTTTGGAGTTCGTAAAGTGGTATATTGAAGGAGTTGCCCGGAGTTCACCGGAAGCTTTTCAACTTTATTCTGAATCAAAACATCAAAAGTATGTTCTTTGTGTACACCCCGCGATCACTCGCTTATAAATTATAAAGTTTCTTATATGTTACAACAATAATATTAGTGCAAGCTATAGCTTGGCACTTACCTACCGATATAAGCACTAGTACCAGAGCCCCGCACCCCGCACTCAATGCACGAGTTGCAAGTGCGAGTGTGTCCGCGTCACAGGTCCCCTTGTCCGTGTATAAATAGAATCCTTTCAAATTACCACAAAACTGGTTTCAGGAGCTCTCCCTTGTATCTCTCGCCCCGAGGAGTAAAAGCTTAACAGATTAACACATGTCCTGTGTACTTCAGTTGGTAGTGACAAACCGGGTGTCATGCGAAACCGAGCCCGCTCCCGGTACAAAGGGACTGCCTCAGTGAGGCTCAAGCAAGTATTTATTAACATGTACCCTTTTTGTTTCAGATTGGTGTGTAGTGTCAAGTAGTGTTCCAGTAGAATTTTTTCTCTTTCTCTGTGTCTATATATCGGTGTTAGTGTAATAATGTTATTCAGTAGTGTTAGGTTAGTTAGTGTTAGCATGTAGGGAGTGTCGCGTCTGCGATGTGTTCTTTGACGTTGGAACAGTTTCCCGAATGATGTAACGTATTGCGGACGCGGAACGTGAACTAATCAGTGCGAAGATTATGCGACAGGGACGCATTATGTTTTGTGGCGGGTAGTCGAGTGCCTCCAAGATGTCGTTGCCCATGAAGCGGTCGTTCAGCTCGGAGGGCGGCGCGACCTCCAAGCGCGACTGGAAGATGCGGCTCAGTCTGCGGAGCCGCAGCGGGCACAGCGTCGTAAGTATAACACATATATGTCTACTTGTTATTACATTGTCGCACACATGCATAGCGTCAACATGACTACTTACTTTAATCATTTATATCTCTAACTCTTTCGCTACTTTCCTATCTTCATGATCGACGTTGCAGTATTTCCAAACATTACAGTAACAGCCACCATTGCGAGTGGCTCTGTTAGTACATTGTCGACGATCATAAGTTTTGACGCCACTATCAGCTAGCTGGCCGTCGCGGTCGGGTCGTTACAGAAAACATTTCAGTTCGTATACAAGTTGCCAGCTGAAGTAAAGTTATTGAAGCTTCCAGTAAATGAAGCACCTCGGGCTTGTTTGGCCATAGCAGGCTAATTACAATTTTGTCTAACATTTATATTAGAATTTTAAATTCGTTTAGCGACTCCGACTTGATGTTATTTTCTTTATTTAAGAGATCGCTAATGTTTTCTTTAGTATCTTCTGAGATTAAAGAAAATACGAAAGTTTTGTAATGTTTAAGGGCGAGGGCTCTTTGAATGTGACTCGAAATATAAAATAGCTTTGTAAAAGGTAATTAACTTTTTTGATACAACTCACTTACCGAACTACTTTAGGTTAAATTACGTAACACTGACGTATAATTTAAATAAAAATAACAACAAGGGAATTTTAGTAGCAGCAGATTACTCTCAAAAGCATAATGTAAGCCCCCGACAGTACCCATAGAAATACATGTGGAGGTACGAAGAGGCAAAATGTAATTAACTTTAATAAATTCTTATGGGCAATAGATGGAAGTCGTGAGCAGTAACTCAGGGGGCTGTGACGTCACACGTACGTACAGAACACATTAACGATACTAAATAATTACACAGATTTATTACGTCATTACGCAGCAGCCGGCTGCCGAGTTACCGACTTAACACCGCGGCTGCGATCTGTAAGACATCACTCCACATACACAAAGAAAAGAAGAAAATATCCAATATCACGCCTTTTTATCCCCAAACGGGTAGGCAGACGTGCCTGAACATTACGGCCCTTAATGCTACTGTACAATGTAACACCCACTCACCACGGAAAAAGCACACGGCCCACCTGATGGTAAGCGAAAAGTGAAACTTTTCACTATTTATGCTGTCAGTCCCATATAATAGGGGGTAAGCCTATTGCCTTATACCGCGCGGGCACAATACCAGACTCCGATCTACAACTGAGATTAAAAAAAGACCGGTAATACTTTGCCCGGCTCGGGAATCAAACCCGAGACCCCTTGCCCGGAAGTCGCACTTACGACCACTGGGCCAACGAGGCCAAAAATAAGAAAAGACAAATAAAAGTCTAGTGCTCGCCCAACTACCAAGTTGATAGCACAATATGCAAGTCCAGCCCCAGATTTTACTCGTAGATTCATATTTGAATGACTGCGATCGATGGCTTTCAATTATCCCTGAACATCATTATACCGTTCATTCGATTTACTTGTACCTTAGTTGTACATTAGTGTCTAAAAACCAACAGCGAAACGAAAAACCTGACAGTTAATAGATGTTCTTTGAGGGCAGACCCTCACATTATGGCGGGAGGGGGAGGGTCACATTGAGGTGTGACAAAGGAAACAACATTGGAGGTCCACAGGTCCACATTCGTGAAAGCAAATGAGTTGTAGAAACAAACAACTTATAATTAAAGTAATTTCCTCCCGAGCGCCAGTAATCAACCGCGTAATCACAGCTCCCGCCTTCCGAACCATTCCATACGATCCGGCGACCGCTGCCGACACATACTATTTGTAGTTACTGGCTTTTGTGGATACGTTGCGTTTGGATATAAGAACTAATGGGGTATGCCAACATGCTATATTGATTGTAAAACAATACAAAGATTAAGTGAGGTTAAAATTATAACTCAACAGTGAGTACATTCACTTAGGCATCGGCAAATATTGAGCCAATAGATATGAAGTTATTTGGAGTATATTTCAAAGATTAATCCATTTCTATAAGGGTCCATCTATCACAATCAATAGTTGTGGTGTCAGGTGACGTCACACGGTGCCTGTAGTTTTTTCTATCATCTCATAAGTTTGTGAGTGGCGAGCAGTGCGCGGGGCAGTGGGGGAGGGGGGGGGACACATTGCGTTCACCTATTCGCGGATTTTATGTCTGTTCATTGTTTAGACGTCGGAAATAAGGCGTGACGTTGGCTCATTGCGCCGAGCTCAATGAGGATGTCAAAATAATATAAAACTTGCACTTGGCAAGTTTCATTAAACAGTTTGTAATTTTAAAAGCGTCAGGTTCTTTGTGAGCTCTAAACTGTGTGTTCAAAGGAAAATAATTGTGTTATTCTTTGTGGGAAATACTTGGAGAAATTATAACTGCATTATATTTACGTCTGCTGCCACTGCAGTGTACACAGAAGCGCCTGTTGGTGGGCGGCGGGCACTGCCGACGTTGTGGAACTACCGGCTACTTCGGTTTGACTCCGCAACATGAGACTATAATAAACAAACCTCAGACGCTTGAAATTATACAGCTCCAAGTGGTCCACTCTTTGGTGAAATATTACCCAACTCATTGTACGAGTAAAGTTCAGTTGTTTTATACTTTCTTTGTGATCCCTCCTCTTTGAAGCAGTGTGTAGGAATAATATAATGTTATTAAAGCATATTGTGTTTCTTAATTCATCCCGCCGGGATTTTGTCAAGGGATGCTCTGTTGATGATCTAGCATATCTGTTCAGAGACGAGCCTGAAAGCAGAAGTTACGCATTGATCATAGATAGTGAGTTATACAATAAATGAGGAAATAGTCCCCATTAATACCATTTCAACTGGTGTTTGAGAAAATAATTGAAATAAGTTGTGATCAAATAAACATAGAGCATTGTATAAAAAATAATGAAGTAGAGTGTTGTGACGGAGGCACGGAGCCATGGAGCCAGGAGGCACGGCGCGTGGGCAAACAATGCATTTAATTATTTCTGATTAAGCGACACTTTCCCTATTGCTTCGTTAACAGAACGTGCGCAGCTTCTCACAGTATAAATGTTATTTCAACGCGAAACGCTACAATTTTTAAATGAAAAAATAATTGAATTGTAAGTACTTGTAAACGATGCCTTTGAACGACTTCAGCCTGAAAAAACAATCCTTTTCGATTGTGGTTCTTGTCGTTTGAATTATTCATTATTATTTTTGCAATGTTTTCATGGATTCAATTTATTCGATCTTTTGCAACCGTTTTTATTGTACCAGATAAATAATTCATATTACCTGAAACTATCAGTTGTTTACAGTGACAAATGGTGGTTTCAATATTCGACGTTGGCGTGCTCGTCACTGGCGCACTGTTACTGAGCAGCAGCCACTGGCTACTGGGCTGGCGAAGTGTTACATATGCACGAGGTCTCGTCTGGCGGCCGATACTGGCGATTGTTTATGCACCCTTGCAATATTGACTTGCAATGAGTGTCCTTATATACCGCCGCACAGTGTTAGGTCAAGGATAGGAGAGCCAAGGTCCAACACGCCTCACATACATTCGCATCACAAACAAGATGAATATTTTATTTGTCGCAGATTTGATTCACTGATTTTAGACTTTCATGAACGGTAATCGAATAAGCGAATTATGGAGTCCGATTCAGACGTCAACTCATACATACCGTATTTACATGTACATATATAGTGTGGCTTACATTTACATCGATCGAGATTAATTAAAGCAATAACAACGAAACATTCGTTTGCAAACATAATTTAATCTGAACCATAATAAAATATTGATTAATGTAATGAACGTGTAATTGTTCTAAATAATTATCCTGTGTTAAATATCAGCTTATAACGATAACAGAGAGACGGGAGCGTTTCATGGCGGAATACATTACGGGCAATTATCTACATTCATAAATAATTGATTCACTTGTAATTGTTACGGTAATGATATAAAATCTTGTTTTGATAAACTTGTCAGCTCGGTGAGTCACAACATTTGGCTGACATAAAGCTCGACTGCTCGATCACTATGTGATACCTAATGTGCGTGTAACTACAATCGAACGGCTGCGGTTAGCAACTCATTAAGTACGCTATTTCAAACTAAATTTTGTTACAAATCATTCACTAATTGCACAAACATATCGGTTTCCTTTGTATTGTAACACTGTCAGTCATTCATTTCAACTCTGTTTGCTTTAATTATCGATTATATTACTAACACTCCTTATTTTTACATTTGCAGGACAGTCGCACTCCTATGTATGTCAAGGTATGTATGTACCACCGAACTCTCCTTAAACCTTATTGCCCTGACTGACTGTCCTGAACAATAACTTTACACTTCGCTAAGATTTGGTAACACATATACTATACGTATTTACTTCCACATACATACTGTGCTGCGACTTGTTCAGTAACACAAACGTGTCACTCTTCATTTGTAACAACGATTTTTAGGTTCTGTCTAAATAACTAATAAGTAAATAGTAACTTAATTAAACTTAATAGTCAATGAGACACACTATTGAATAAATGTACTCAAAACAGACAATAATACATTATTGTAACGAACAAATATATGACAGTTTACTTCCATACAATATAAAACAAGTGCCCATCGAACATATAGGTACTAGCGTTTTTCATTAGAAACATTTCGAAAATAATAGAATTCAATTCCAACAATGTTTAAATCATGTCTCCCCTGAAATTGACAGCGAATTTAGATAACAATTGAGCACGTCCCGTGCGGAGACTGAACATGGTTGCCAGGTTACTTTATTAAAAGCCGGCCACCAGTCAAACTGTCCACACGCCAACACAAGTAACAAACTAAATTGTGCGGTATGTCAATAAGTCAATATGTCACCCGAACTAATTCCACAAACTTTCTGCTCTTCGTTCAATACAAAGTGGCTCGAATTATAATAATAGAGACGAAAGGTGATACAGGATAACAGATTCAATATCAATACAAAACGGATAAAAGACGAGAAGTAATCTCTATGATGTAATCAAATACAATTTGGTTAGAGTATCCATTCATTCGTTTCGTTTGGATTTAGAAATTGACCACTCCAGTACGTTAATAGACGGTCTTTAACTTGAATCAGTTTGCGGCGCGACAACAAGACGCGCGCGTGCCGCCCGGCGACCGATTGTTTGCTAAACTGCCAGCCAGTCAGGCAGTGTGTTCACAATCAACCTGTTTTGTTATCTTGCTAATTATACTCGTACTCGATCGCTTGTTGCTTACAACGGGAGTGGGAGGGACGACTGTTGCTTTAATACGAGTAGGAACTAACTCTGTTATGTTGCCGGACAAAGATACAACTTATTTCTGAAACCTACTTATAGATAACAATTAGACTCGTTGATAATACTTTATTGTTGGGAAGCGTTTTCATATTATAATGTGAATCACAAATAAATGAATGTTATCACTCAAACTAGATTGTTCTCGCATAATGTGATAATGTTTGATCAACTGAAATTAGAGCTGAAAGGTCCCAAACATTAAGTTGTGTTTATTTCGGGACGCGCGGGACGACAAAGGGAACTTTTTACAAAAAGACAAACATTGTATAAATTCGCTCGGCAGCTACTGACGTGCCGTGCGGGCACAGACGTACTTCTGACTAAATAATACACCGAGTTAAATGTGTGTACTTACATTGCGAGCTGAACATTTAGCTGGCTGTTGTCAAAAATAACGTCAACAGTTTAGAGGGCTATAAATGTCTCGAGGGACGTCACTTAAACATAGGAGAAAACAAGCTATTGATCTACGAAAATGAAGGCTCGGCCTGATGTCTGCCAAAAGAGGAATCATTATTGTTAGTTGTTACTGAACAACACCAAGCAAATTGTCAACACTAACTAGACCATTACTTTACTAACATTACTAACATTTTAGATCACATGCGGTATCACAGGAAGCAGATAAACTAAAACTCATAAACCAGAATGTTGGAATAAACCTGTGTACAATGAAGTTTCAGCAGTTGTAAAAGTACAGCGGGAACATGACATGGCGTGACGTGCAAACATGTGACACAGCTAGTTGCTTCCAGTTTTAGTTTCACTAACATTCCAGCGGAACTGTTTCACTTCAGTTTCATAAAGTCATCATTATTTAAAGGTAACGAAACACTGCGAGTACTGTGAACATACAAGTACGTGTATAACAAATAGAGCCTGGTATGCGATGTAGCCAGCAGCAGGCGGCCGACCTTTGCAACTACATCGATGGATGCGGAGACGCTGCCGTGACGGCATTGTGCTCGACCTGGCATTTGATATTTAAACAGCATTTGAATGGCCTCGGGCACACGTCGCGCTACGTTCCGCCCATTATCATGTGGGCTCGCACATAATGCGCCGGGAGAAGCCGGCCCCGGGACGTTTCCTGCGGGGAAATGAATACACCGCCCTACTAAAGCCGGGGAAGATTTGCATAGATCTACCTCTTTTGTTATCATTTCCCTCAAATAAATATACATCTGTTTCTCAGATTTTGGTTGGAACTGATTTATGTTAACAACTTCACAATTACACGTGAGTCGAGTACAATAAAACGCCCTTTAAATAGCTCAGTATTATCTGGAAATGATAAAATTAATTATCAAATATGATAATGTAAGGAGTCGTCATATTTCGGGTCTATAATTATCTCCCGTAACATTTTCTCACACTTTGTCATTCTGTCGAATACGAATGTCGTGTATACAGTACTGAGTACACACGTCGTCAGTATATTAGGGTAAATACGGACCTGTATTAGATCTAAACTTAATTACTTACAACTAAAAGTAATTGCTTGACAATGCGTGCCATCTCTAAAAGCGTGTATTATAGCGGCTGCGGTAGAGCGGTGCTAGACGTATTCTAGTACCTTCTGGGACTTAATTAATAAAATGTTGTGTTTCGAGGAGCATTGTGACACATCACAGAGTGCTGCAGAGCTCCTCAGGCAGGCCCAATTAGTTCCCTATTGTCACATTTCCAGCAATTTAGAAGCAGGCTGTAGTTGTAACAAAAAGCCCGCAAATTGTAGGTCGTTTAGAAAAGCCGGAGTCGAGAGGGGAGCGTACTTTGTAAAGTCGGTCAAGTTTAATACGGCGAATGTCAAGCTGTACGCGGGCGCCGGGCGCCGGGCGCCGGGCGCGTGGCGCACTACCCGCGCTCGCGTTGTAGCCCGAGTGCGCACTACACTCGGGGCTTAGCACAAGTGCAGCGCACCGAGCCATCGTGCCACCGAGCATCTTACCGCGACCTGCTCCACGTGAGAGGCCTTTTCGCGAAACATTACTGAAACTCACGGCGCGCGACGGGGAAACAAAAGACTTGACTATTTATGTAGCCAGCTCTTCCATTTAAGTATTTTGAGCCGAATGCCATGTAGTAAGATAATAATTGAAGAATTAATTTTGATTCTATTATTTGCTGTAACAACACTCCTATAAAATCATAGGCACTTTGTTTCAGCGAATTATCAGTCATCTTATTTTCATATGTATATACTTCACATAATATTATTGCGTATGTATTACAAGTTACTGGAACCGTTATATTTTACATTCCAATACCTTCGAGAAAATACCCGAACCTTTAGTAATTCTCCGAACACTTTCGAGTATTATAATAAATATGTTGCTATGTCGGTACATATACATATATACAGCGCACGCCGGGCGACGTGTGTAACTCAGTAGTCATACGCGGGACTCACGAATATATTATGTATCTTGTACCTCGCTACAAGTGTGTACACTGTACGTCGTGTACAGGTACGGTCGGTACAGAGCACGCCGCTCCTTATCTCTTCTCGTTCTAAGCACATTACGACCATTTCCGAAACGCCACGGTCCTTGTGTGTCGTCGACCAAAAACACCTTAGCAACAAAAAAATATTTGCACTATTCCATGTCTTTATGTAAGAGGCATAGAGCTGAGAATAGCTCACCCCGAGTGTCGAATAGATAAATATAATTTGCACGTGCAAAAGTTTTTATTGTTGTATCGTGTGTTACGCGAGTGCGGAGTGCCCGTGAGGTCCCGACGTCTGCTCGCGTGGGGTAATGACTACTTTATTGTTAGGAACTATGTTTCATGTGAATTGCCCACTTCTTCTTGTCACATTTTCCCCAAGTTTGATAACTGTGATGATCACTTATTACCGGTTCCTTGCTTCGGATTTTTTTTATTGAAACGTTGCCTACTTTTATTTTCTGTTCTATCTTCACCTGGAACTATTTTAAGGTTCATAAGAAGGATATTTCCGCTCGGGAATTGAAGTCACGACATGCTGAGTCTGCTGATGCGATACCCCGACTTTGTCGCCAACTGGAATGTAAACACCCTCCCATTAAATCTCCTTCAAGATGGCCATTGTACTAATTTTTTGTGTTACTACCCCCAACTAGTCCTTTTCCTGATCACACATCAATATCAAACTGTACCACAGTGATCTCCCGCTAGTCGCTAGTAGTAGGACAGACAGACTGGCTCACAAGTTATAGTAATAATAGTTGGGAGGTGGTCGCCATTGATCCCTCAGAGCTTGCTTTGTTATTACAAAAGTTGCGAGCAGACAGACGTACAGTTTGCTGACCGATTTGCTTGGAGTATCATACACTACCTTAAGTTCGCTCGCTGCGCCCCTTTAGATCTCCACTAAGTATATTTTATATCTTTGGAGTATTCCGCTTGATTTATATAAAGAGTTTCTTTTGAAGCGGATCAAACTTTAAAAATTGTCTAACAATGGATTTATGACGATTCCTTTTATTTTATGAACAACAATCCGTGTCGTTTCAATGCGAGCTCTCAAAGTTTGATTGAAATGAAATCGAGAGAAACAAATGGCAAGTGCACAGGAGTCAGTAGCAAGCAGAGCGGAGGAAACAAAGGAAGCTGCGGGACCACTCGAACGTTCAGAATATGTTCGAGGAACAATCACGCCGCTACTACTACTGCTGACAAAACAATTCGCTGACACTGCCATTGTCATGTCATAATGCGCGCCGAGTCTGTTGCAAATTGGGAAAAATCTTTCAAAAGCTACGTGAAACAGTACTGTTGCTTAGTCGCATTAAGAAGTGCACTCAGCGTTGAAAATAAATATAACTGGAGTAGATTTTATTTGAAAACCTTTTATTGTAAATGCGCGCAAAATAAATTGATACAATTCTGAAACATTAATAATGTTAAACCATTATTCGAAACGATTTTAACATTATTTCACGTGAAAGGGCAAACTTGTATTAT